GAAGTTGGCGGTTTGCCGATTAATTATGGTTGTCTGGAAGTTATTCTAATAAGATAGTGATATACAACCAGGATGTGAAGTGGAGTTGTGATTGACTTAGTTACGGGAACTAGTCCTATATTAAGAGCTCCATATTGTATGTCTATTTGGATAGTCAAGGAATTAAACTGGTTGAGTAGTTTTGAGACTTGTGTCTGGTGTGTGTGATGCAGCAACATAGTGTGAAGTCAAGTATATAAAGGGTGGATAGTGACTTCTGGTGATTATTAAAGGAAATAAAGTGGGGGATACTATATTGGTATAATTAGACCTTTAAACATTTCAAGAGTTGAAGATGTATTGAATGGCCTTCTAAGTGTGGAAATGTTGTTTTCGTATTTTTGTCGTAACGGGAGGACCGTAACTCGGAATGACGCAAGATTAGGAGCGCGGAAAGTTATTACAATGCTTCATGCGATGGTGAAGTAGTGACATGGAATTAAGTATTTATTGATGAAATATGTTTGGTTGTTGTGGTAAGTGCGGTTTGTATTTCCGCCATGACTCACAAATTGAGTGTCCGTTTGGCATGGAGTTCTCCATACTTAATTGAGTGAGTAATGGTTGTGTAATCGATGGTGTTTGGATGCGTCGAAGAGTATAGAGGATCAATTTGCACATCGAGAATTAGAGTTATCAGTATTGGAGAAGAATTAGTGATATGCCACTGTGAAGAAGTTCAGAGAGTTTTTGGAAAGTTGTCAATAACTCGTGTATTGGTTTTGCCGAATCCGACAGAACTATTTGTTGTGTTGTGATGCTTTGTCGATATGATTGGGAGGTATGTTAAGTGCAACATCAGCTTGTTTAGTTATGCGTTAAGGCAACTTAAAGTACCATAAAGGGAATTATGTGACAAGCAATTTAGAGTTGGTTGATGTTGTGTGTTTTGCTAGAGTTTGGAAGCCTCAATTGTTTAGTTGAGATTTAAGATGGTTGGAGATCTTAAGATCTTAAGGTATTTGTTTGATTTGAGAAGTTGAATATGATGTGGAGGAAATAATTGGGACTTCTGAAAGAGTATGGTTTAGGTTGAGTTACCATTCGATTGAGACCAAGTGGTAACTGAGTTATTGCATTGGAAATCTCTGTATGTGCCGATGATGATGGTAATGAAGTTAAGACTGATTGAGTAAATTCGGAATATGAGTGTAGTCTGTGAATAGACTTCTCATGGAGTTGAACTTTATATGATGAGACTGACTATTGGTATTCTCGATGAGATTCGTGGAGGTCGGAATTCTAATTCGAGTTAATAGATTGATTGAATTTAAGGGATAAAAGTCGAGGAGGTGATTTTCGGATTTATGGAAATGGTATCATGAGATGTCAGGATGGAGTATGTGTTCTGAATAGTGTGAGTTGGGTGAGAGTACACTGGAAGAAGGACATTGAGATAAATGGAGTATCCATGCAGGTACTGGGAAGGTGTGACCGAATTTGAGGAATTATTTTGATGACCACAGATGAAGAGAGAAGTGATTGAGTTTGTATATGCTGATTAAACTTGTTGGGAGTCGAAGTGTGAATATCAGAGACTGTTGGGTCTGATACAACTGTTGAATATTTCTGAGTGGGATGGGATAGTATTCCCATGGATTTTGTGTCAGGTTTTCTAAAGAATTTGAAGGAGTATGATTCGATTGGAACTGTTAAGAATGGATTAACAAGAGTAACTCGTTACTTACCAGTGAGGATGAATCATTCTGTTAGATGGGAATCTAAGTTTTTCATTGGGATTTTGAGAGAGTTGCAGACGCTTTAAGCGACATGTTGAAGATAATCTTTGTCGAGCATCCGTGGAAAGATGGGTATACAAAGAGGACTATCCAATATGTAGAGAATTTGTTGAGAGCTTATGTGTTGGATCAAGATGGATCAGGAGATGGTTAATTGTCGTTGATTGAGTTTACCTACAATAACCGCTATTATTCTAGTACCGGAATAACATCGTATGAGACTTTGTTTGGTAAGAGGTGTAGGACTCCTTTGGATAGACGTGTGTCCAGCGAGAGTGTTGTACTCAGGCCGAAGATTGTGCAAGAGACGACTGAAAAGATCAAAAGGATCCAAGAAAGGACGTGTTTTAAGAGTTACGATAGTAACTGGTGTTGGTCGAGCTTGGAGTCTCGGAAGTATATCCTATGTTTTGTTGATCTGTATCAGAGTGGCGTAGCAGAAGCGTGGGAAAAATAGCATGTTAGACTGTTTTACCGTTGTCACTTGTGGGAATTGCATGATGTGTTCATGTGTCTAAGCTGAGGAGGTACATTGATTCAGATGGATAGTATACAAGTGAGAGATGATTTGACTGTTGAGGCATTGCTAGTTCAGGTTGATGAACGAGAAGTAACTTCGAGGTAAAGGGATTCCTTTGGTGGAGGTGATTTGGGAGATTAGGATACGAGAATCGTATCCAAAGTTATTTGGATCAGGTGACATTTTCAAGGACGAAAATTCCTAAAGTGGGGGAGGGTTGTAACAGCCCAATTTTCAAAATAGTGGATTAATTGTACTAATTAATTGGATTTATTTGATCTATGTGAGTTATTGGATTTAACTGATTTATTCTATTTGGTAGAATAATGTGGGATTACTAGATACTATCCAATTAATGATAAGATGAGATATTTTGGTGAATAAAGGGTCAAGTGGATATTTTATGAGAAATTGATTAGTAGATATTTTGAGAGAAGGGAAATGTGATGGAAAGAAAATAATGGAAGGTATATAAGGATAAGTGGAAGGAAAATAGATGGATAGGAAAACATAAGAGAAAGAAAGTGGAAGAGAAGAGAAAGAGGAAGATAAGAGGAAAACTTGGAAAATCATCAAGATCCGATCCAAAGCTTCGATTTAATCAAGGTAAGGGTGAGAAACATTATTATCTTAGCAATGTGTATGATTATGTATGATTGGATTGGGTTGTTGTGAGTTTTCCACCATTTTTCATTTTAGGGCAAAATGGATTTAATCGGTGTAAATCAAAGTTTAACGGTTAAAATCGAGAATAAGTAGTATAGTTTAGTCGGGTATGGTTATATTAAGGTTATGGAAACTGATCGAATGAGAATCGGTCGATTTTGGAGAGAGTTAGAATTTCTGAACAGTGGGAAAATTCTGGTTCGCAGACGTTCGCTAGTTGTTCGCTAGGCGAGCTGGTCGCGAACGCTCGTTGGGTCCTCGCCTAGCGAGCTAGTGGCGAGTGGAAACAGAATGTGAGAGGTTCCTTCGTTGGGTAGCGAACGGGGTAGCGAATGGTTCGCTGGGGGTTCGATGTGGCGAACAAGGTAGCGAGTGAGGTCTGTAGCATCTGTTTGGGTTCGCTAGCAGTTCGCTAGGCGAACATGTAGCGAAGGTTCACTAGCTGCTCGCTAGGCGAGGCAGTAGCGAACATGACAGCATTTTGTTTTTCTGTGATTTCATTCCATGTTGTGTTGTGGTTCGATCGGGTTCGATTCTTAATGGAATGAAAAGTTATATGTTGTTATATATGTGTTATGGGTAGCCGTATGGCGTGAATCCTAGGTTTTGAGATGTGTATATTATTTGTATTGATTGGAAATGCATGAGAACATAATAGAGGTTATGTGTGCATTGCTTGATAGATGTTTTAAATGCATATTGTATGTATGTGATTAAATGTGAATAATGCATGAGAACATATTGTGGATATGTGTTCATTGTTTGATAAATGTGAAGAATGCATGAGAACATATTGTGGATATGTGTGCATTGTTGATAATATGGTGATGATATTGAATTGTGAATGCATATTGTTTGTATACGGTTGTATGAATAAAATGCATGAGAACATGTCTTGGATATGTGTGCATTGCTTGATAGATGTTTTAAATGCATATTGTATGTATGTGATTAAATGTGAATAATGCATGAGAACATATTGTGGATATGTGTGCATTGTTTGATAAATGTGAAGAATGCATGAGAACATATCGTGGATATGTGTGCATTGTGTGATAATATGGTGATAGTGTTGAATTATGAATATTTTATTAAAAAAAGAAAAAAATCCATCAACTTTAACATTGCCGCCTTTTTAATGGGCGGGAAGCCATCTAAAAATGGTATATAATTTTTTTGTTTGAAATCATATAGCAGAATGATATATATACTTGATTTATATGGCATATTGGAAATTACAATGCAATAGGGTGGCATGTTAGAAAAAATTTCTAGGAATGCCACAACAATTGAGATTAAAAATTATTATTTTCTAACACATGTGACCTTAAAATGCACTACTACCACCGATGTGCATGTACTTCTGAAATTGAAACTGACCAGTATTGTTCTGAAATTCAAGCACATATAAACATTTTAGAAAGTTATTGTTTTCCAAATCACTTATTAATGTTCATCACCCTCTTTAAGAACTTTGAAAAGGGGAAATGATTCCCTCCAGATTTCCAACTTCAAATATTTTTAACCTTTTAATGTGTAGTTGTGTAGTGCAGATTTCATGAATCCAAGATCACAATTAACATCGACATAACTAAAAACGCGGAGAAATGAAATTGTTCTTTATCAAAATAAGAAGAAATGTGACATTATACAAAAAAAATGGACAGCTGCCATACATCAAAATATCAAATAAACTATAAACACAAAATCTGCTTCTAACTTTATCTTAGTGCGGACAGCTGATATTTTTTCCTTCTTTTGGTGATGTGTATGTTACAACAAAAATTCGGTTCAAAGTGGTAAGTAAAAATAAAAAATAAAAAAAGTTATATTTGTCTATGAAAATAACCCAAAAATTAATGAAAGAATATATTTGAATACCCATATGCTCAGCAAAGATAGCATGAGGCAAAGATAGCATGAGACATGTACGTTGCCGTAGCACTTTATAACCTATACCCCTCAAATTTTGGAAAAATTGGATGCTGTATAACTATAGACTGTAGTTATGATATGATTGATATGCACGTCTAATTTTAATCATTTGGATCCATTTCCTCATCTTGATCCCAGATTTGAGCCAGATCGGTTTTGCCATCATTTTTGTCTGACTCAGATTCATCAACAAAATCATTACTTTCATAATCTGGAACCCCATCATCTTCTGATTTAACCCCTTCTTTCCCTGAACTTGGCTTTTTAGCATGCTGCATCCATTTGGGGCAAATGTCTTCTCCTCTATATAGAAGTTGACCATCCTCACCTCTGACACGATTAGCAACATTGGCAGAAGCTACTCTACAGGAGCATTCTGGAAGTGGATGTGAAAGGAACATTGCAGGTTTTGACAAGAGAGATTGCCTTATGAGGCCTTCTTCGGACATACTTTTGTTAAGGTGTTCTTGCACTAAAATTGTCCAATTATGTTTTGGATGGTACAAATTCTCTCGGATCATATTGAAAAGTTCCGTAACAACTTTCCTGTTAGAAACAAGAGGAATAGTGTCACAATAAAATGTATAACTTTAGGAAATTTTCAATAGAAAAACCAGAACTAACCAAAACCACAAATATCTAGATGATTTTCAAAGAATTAGAATGCCAAGAAGTTTGAAGCGCGGAAACAGAAGTTCATCATACTGATCACTTCAGATACACATATACATGTTAATTCTCAAGGCATCAAGACAATCGGTAAAAAATTTCCATATTCTAAAAGCATATTTGCACAAAAGACATGTTCTAGACTTGTCTGTCACCTGCTACAAGAGGATTGTCATGTCTAGCATTTGTTTAAATAATGACAGGCATGGATGTCTGAAACAGGACCGAAGAAAGTTGTAATAATGATCGCTACATAAATACTCAGTCAACAGTTAAGACATAACATGACACCCCAAAAAGCATTGTTGGTTATTTAAGTGAAGTAGATGATATAGTGTGGCCTGTCTTCTCTATAACATGACACCCCAAAAAAAGAGGTCGGGGAATAATGCTGGCTTTTAAAATTCAATTAAATATGGTAATTTGATTACTTTTATGAAACCATTTTACATCACACTTCCTTAACGAACATCAATAAATTGAGACCAACCCCAAAGAGCATTTACCTGTCCGGTCGGTATGTTCTAGAAGAAGCAGTCTCGTACAGCCGATGTCCCATGACAAGGCTTGAAAAATCTGGCCATCCACTTCCATCATTGTTAAATCCAGGAAAGAAGGCATCTGCTTCCAAAGAAACAATGTAATCTAGTGCATCCCAAAGTAACCTATGTGCTTTCATCCTCAGATCCATAGGTGAAGGATCGGGTTCTAAAGGGGTCTCATTGATCCAGCCATACCAGCCTTCTTTTTCATGCTGATAAATTGGTCTATTTGGAGGTGGAGGAAGAGGCCTAGGCCTAGGACCAGCCCTCTTCCATTCTTCTTTAAGTTCTTGCTCACTTTTTTCAGGAGGTGATCTAAAAATATTTTGAGGAAGAGGTGTTTCAGGTCCAAACAAGTCAGACAATTCTTTCTCACTGCACAAGGAAGTGCGGTCCAATGTATTGATAAACATGGACCGCAAAGGAATTAAAACACGTTGACCTCCAAATATTTCAGAGCCAGCAAGATAAATAATTGTCTTGGAAGGATAACCCATTACTCGTAGGAGAATGCCAACCTAAAAAAGTTAAAACAGAATAACAAATGTAACTCCTGTATAGTAAAAATTTAAAATTCCAAAAGGCAATCCATATTTTCCACAAAAATGGAAGCAATGTTCCCAAAAGGCAACATTACATCAGTTTATTTGTAAAACAGGTCGAGCTCAGACTAAAATCTTGAAGGCACAATTGGAAAGTCATTAGCATCTTAGGGTCTGTTTGGTTGAGGGTAAATGGAGGAGAGGGGAAGGAATATTTAATAACTTATGTGTTTGGTTCAAATTTTAAAAAGGGGAGGGAAGGTAGATGGAGGGGACCAAAATCCCACATTAACCACTTTTTGGTTCCCCCGATTTAGAGGGATTTGGAGGGAAGGGGAGGTGCTTGATTTTAATTATAATTATATTTACATATTTATTCTTATTATTTATTCAAATATAAATTTAACTTATAACAATGTTAAAAGTTTTATTTTGAACAAATTTAATCTTTCTTTCTATATTTTTTGTATTTTTATATCTTCATCTTACTATCATTATATTTGTTTAAATTTTTTATTTTATTTTTCATATTTTAATGTTAATTTTAGTTATCGTAATGTTTTTGTTTATAATAATAGGGGGACCAAAACTGTAATTTAGTCAATCATATATTATAATCGTTACATTTTTATAAAATATTTCATGATGATCTCCGATTGAATATTTATAGTTCGTCAATAAATTTGTATTTGAATTATAAACGGTAAATATCACAAGTCTTATGGTAAAATTAGAAGGATAAAAAAGTAAATTAGTTTTAAAATATCTCCCCTCTCCTTGTGAACCAAACATATTTGTAAATAAAATGCCTCCCCTCCCCTTTCATATTTTGAACCAAACATATATGTAATTAAAATCCCTCCCCTCCCCTCCCCTTCCCTCCCCTTGATAAAAACCCTTCCCTCCCCACCCCTCCCCTCGATTGAACCAAACAGACCCTTAGAGTTGCTATCCAGGTATTTCGGGTGCAAAATGATATTTTTTTTTATTTGAAGTTGTAAAGCTATTGATTTCAATACCTCAATTTCCAAATTTTACTCGATCAAAGTTTTCAAGTGTTGAGTGGGGCGAGGCATTTTGAAATAGTTGGAGTTATTGCCGTATGACTAAGAGGTCACAAGGTTGGGCCATGGAATCGGCCTCTTGCAAATACAAGGCTAGGATACCTAAAATATATCTGCAACTGTAATGGATTCGATCTTTCCCTAGATCTTCCCATTGCAGGAGCTTGGTTTCCCTCAATTTAGGCTAGGATACCTAAATTGAGGTATTGATTTCAATACCTCAATTTCAAATTTTACTCAATCAAAGTTTTTGACTTGAGTGGGGTGAGGCATAGTGAAATGGTTGGAGTTATTGCCGTATGACTAGGAGGTCACAATTTCACAAGGTTATGGAAACGGCCTCTTGCAAATACAAGGCTATGATACCTAAAATATATCTGCAATCAATTTTTCCCATTGTAGGAGCTTGATAGCACCAGTTTACCATTTTAAAGTAATTTAGTGTTGACTTCCTAACTTGCATAGTCCAACCACAAAGTTAGGGCATCTAGGGAAGGATGAGTACTAGTTTAAAAGTATTAACTTCCAACTTACCAAAGGAAAGCCAGAGCACAGCAACATTGAACATTGAACTTCACAGTTAGGGATGTTCATGAACGGTTAATTTCCATAACCAATCCATAACCATATATAATCCATATGTTATATCCGGTTATTAAAATCAATTATAATAACCGGTTTTCATTTTTGTAAAATGGTTATAAACCAGTTATTAACCGGTTATATCCATAACCAATTTTATAATTAATTTTGTTTTAAAACAATTTTTTTAAAGAATTTTTTATTTTAAGAAAAAATATTTTGTTCAAAAATATTTTTTTTTACTTTTCAGTATTTTTCTATTTACTGAAAAAATATTTTTTAAAACAATTTTTTTCCAAAAAAATTTCGTTTTTTGCAAAAAAAATTAATTTTTTTTCAAAAAGAAACTTTTTTTTCATAAAAAATAAATATTATTTTTCAAAAATAAAATATTTTTTTATTTGAAAAAAAAGTTTTTGTTTCAAATTTTTTTTATAAAAAAAATTGATTAATTTGGTTTTTATTTTAGATATGGATGTCCAAATTATGGATTTGGTTAAAACCGTATTAATAACATATCCAAAATATGAATTTGGTTAAAACCATACTAATAATTAACCGATTTTTAATAACCGGATATGAATATGAATATGAATAATTTAAATAACCGGTTTATTTGGGCATCCCTATTCACTTGAGGTCATGTGTTCAAGTTGTGGAAAACAATATTTTCCACTTACCTACTACAGAGTACATACCAATAGTGGGTCCAACCCTTAGGCTTGATACCATGTGACACGAGGTCACGGTTCACCTTAGGTTTAATTGAGAAAATCCTAATTATCGTTATTTCATCATGGTTGATTTAGCACTACTACCCCTGAAACCTCCAATTCTCTCTTTCCATTCAATTTTATCATTATCTTTTAGTTCAATCATATTATATTACTTGTAGTCTAGCAACAGAGAAAATTTATAAGGATAACTCAACTTTTATCACATATTTTGGTACAAACAGCATAAAATTGAAAACAGCTAATCAAATGCTAAAAGTTCTTCAAATGAGTCAAACACATTTATGCTTTTTTTTCAATGATTCACAACTTCTTTCAAGAGTACGTAAAATTGTAGGTCATAAAATCAAGAGAATAACTGTTTCAAAGTAAATGTACTTGAGTTAAAACATGTGAATTCTAAAATATGTTCAGCAGGGGTTTTACCAATCTACTTCTAAGAAAGGTATATACAAACAAATTGAATATCCTGTTCTCTTAGAACTGTCTTAAAGATATTTGCATGGATACAGGTATGATACGAGTACAGGACTTTAAGAAATGCCATGATATGGGTACATTAAAAATACGCAAAGGAAATGTCTTTTATAAGTATAATATTTATCAAAAAATATACCATAAATTGTCTTTTAAGATTTACCACAGCACAAATCACAATAGAATATCAAGATAATTAGGTTAAGAAGAAGATATTAACATAACAAGAGTCTGGGACTTGTTATTTTACAGTAAAAAATAGGGATTTTTGGAGTAACTGTGTTCAGTTGGAAAATAAATGTTTACCCAAGCAACAATTTCTTGGGGGGATTATATTTTTATACAATGGTAACACTTGACATACAAGTTTGGCATCCATCCAGGAACAGTGTTGAATGGAGTCAGGGTTTACATTGGTAATAGTCTCCAAGTACAAAAGGTTATTTTTAAGAAAAGGTTTAAAAGTGACAACAATTATAACTGAAAACAGGACAAAAACCATGCAATCCTACTGGAAAATTTAGCATACCTCTTCTGGCATGAGGGGGCATAGACCTTTATCTCTTTGCAAGTGTGAATCCACATTCAAATCCTCGTTGAGAATTTTATCCTTTATCATTTGAGCCCTTCGATATTGTATGAGTTCAGTGTGTACATCCTGACAAAAATAAAACCTTAACAAAATAAACAAGGAGGGAAAAAAAGGCAAGGCTAAGGATGAACATTGTCTGCCAATTCAAATTTCAAATATTACATGTTTCTAATTTACCCACTGCTACTTAAAAGAAATCAGAAGTGGTGTACCCCAGAAAGGTTTATGTACAGTAGAAGTAGAACAATATCTCATTAGTAGTGGTAAGGAAGAGAAACACAACAAACCTGAAAAAGCTCTGCACAACCATTGTATGCCAAGGTTTCTCTCATTAGGCCAGGATGATATGCTAAGAAGGGCTGCCCCAATGATCTCAACCTAAAAAGACGTCATAAATTTCTTATATGTCAAGTCATCAACTCCAGAAAAAGTTAATTTCTTACGGGCAAAGCGTGACCACTGACCAGCATAGAGAAAATCCATATAAAACTCTACTGGAAACCTTAATTGTTAGCAATCCACAACAAGGATAGAAAAAGAAAGAAAGGAATTATTTAATTCTTGGCTGACAAATGTGCGAAACAAAGATCTCTCGTTCACGGGGTTTCCCCTTTCATTCAACATAAATAAATCTAAAGGATCCCTCTATACCCTTATATCTTCCTATTTATTAGGTAACTAATTCCCTCTAACTAACTAGCTAAGTACTCTGACTGTGTCTCATTTATTTCTTTTCTGTCCTAATATAAGCCCCCATAACTTCTACCAAACTAAATTTTCATTTTGTTATATTGGATAACAGAAACACACTAAATTATGGATTTTAAAGACCCCCTAAAAAAACAGCAGTTCCAAAAAACATGGAAGTAATATGTGATAGTAAAGCATGTGCACATCAATTAGTTTACATGAAAGGCTTTCATACTTGTTAACCATACGATGGCCGAGCATTTGAATTTCTGGACGAAATTGAAGAGCCTGGAAAGAAACCCTGCATCTTAGCCTCTGAATCTCTGCCATGGTAGGTGGGAGAGCGGACTGCAGAAACAAAATGTGTAAGAATGGAAATTCTAAGGACCGATCAGTTTCAGAAAATATTTTCTGCTTTCACTTATAATTACAAATCTGTCAGTTTTTCACTGGTTTTCTGTTTTCAAAGATTTGAACAAAAAATCAAGGAAAGCAAAAAAAAAAAAAGCAATTCCCTTGCGACAAAAAAAAGAACATATGGAAGCATTTGAATGAGGAAAAATGCATAGTGTGTGATGGAAAACTGCAGAAGGAATCACAACCCATGTTTAATATTTTAAATCATCAAAATGACGGAAATAGAAAGATACTATAATTGAATTACAATCAATGTGCAAAGGAAAAATTATATGATGTGGGAATCTAAGAAACTTTTAGCATAAAACACTTGGTCTAGTTTAAGTCCTCCACTTACTATGTGCATTTGTTAACATATTCAGACAATGTTTTTTTTTTTTTTTTTGCTTAAGAATTAAGCTAAGCAGATCCAAGGATGTACATGGAAGTCTGAAGTCAGGCCAGGATTAGACTTCAACAAGAGCTTATCACAAAACTTCAAAGTTCTAAGCATGAATGAAATACTTTTGATACAAAAATGAAATATTTTACTTTCTTCCAATAAAATCCTATATCCACACAAAACAGAAGATCAATGCTTCCTGAAGCAGACAACATTGTCTACAAGATGACAATTCACAACGATAGCATCAGCTAACAATCTCAGGATACTTAAATACCTGCAGTGCTCCACCAGTGGAGATAATTAACCCAATAACCTTGGATTTCTTTAGCTTTGGTAAAAGTTCTTGAACGTAAAAGTTTGGAGAAGCTGAACTCGTGGGCCTAAATGTAGGAAATTCATTTCTTTTTCTCCTTTCCATCAAACTTTCAGGCAGGGTTTTTGCAATAATTACATCGTGTTTTAGATATGTTATGAACTGATCCTCGTCATAAAGATAGGAGAAACTCTTGAACTTTGAGCTGAAAAAAATTTTAAAAACAAGAAAAAATATATAAACGCATCAGAAAAAGAAATTATTAATAATCCCTTTGGTCCTTAATATAAGAAGAAAAACAAAAAACCTCAAAACCAATGTAATTATTAGTTGTGTTAGCCTTTTGAGTAATTTTACAAATATTCATTCATGGAAAATTGTGAAGTACTAAATACATCCACTTATATTAAAAAGAAAAATATTAAATGAAGGCAAAAAAAGTTTTTCAAACAATAAATACAGTTTAAAAATTGTGACAATTTCGTATAAATGGGACCAAGAAAAACTCCAAAAAAAAAATTATAATAAGGACCAGAGATAGTAGCATAAAACACATTGGCATCCTAGTGACCGCATAAAACTTCCAGCACATACCTTATTCCTTTTGAGCGAATACTCTCTTGAATTTCTGGAATGATGAGAGTGGCATTTAAAAGCCTAGATATAGCGACCAGATCACAGATCTATAAAATCAAGAAAAGTGTTGTTAAGTTTCAAAAGAAATAGGAATGACTACACAAAAATAAGGGACTTCTTCCCATCTGGTGGATCATACCGATGATCTTATCTTCTCAAATCCACCAAAAACTTTTGCATAGATGAAACCATTGCTCCGCTCCTTTGGATCTAGGAAGGAAAGAAACACAGGCTTGAAGTGGAAAATTTAGAGGATGAAAATGCCACAATGAGGATATATACATTCAATAAGGTTTACTCATCGTTAAAATTTGACAAACGTCAAGATCACCAAATAATAGTAGCTCAGTTGTGTACATTCTTAGTCAAACTAGAGAAAACTCAACAGTTATAGCCAACTTAAGGATATGACACAAATCTTTAGTTTGCCACTTTAGTTACACTCGTCAATGGAAAAATTATCCAAAAAAGATAATAATAAAAATTTCATTTAAAAATCATTTTAAGTATGAAAAAATTTCAATAAAAGAAATAAACTTCCATCTGTCTACATTGTCAAAGAGTTTCTCTTCTTGTTTATCATTCACACTCGAATAAGAATGAATACAATGAATTGCATGCTAAACCGACATGAATACAGCATCCATTTCTATCTTGAATGTTATTTAGCGTTTTTATACAATATCCATGATTCCACTCAATTTGTAATTCAATACGCAAACTAATAGCTTCTGTTAATCATCTCCATGATTGCAAGGAAGCAATAGTTAACAATCCAGAATCTGGTTGCTAGGTGGTATCTTGGCAATTGTAAATAAATACACGACTTCATTTAAAATGGAACTTATAAGTGTAAAAGAAAACAAAAGGCTAATCACCAAGATGTAAAATAGGAACACTTCAACAAAGTTGTATGCCGTAGCCACTATATTACAAGTCAAACATTGCTACTTTTGGTCGTGACATGTCTCCCTAAGAGAAATCTAAGATACTTAAGTCAAAATTTATTACCAGTATAATTGCTTCTAGCATTGGAACTAGGTTGCAGTGCTTCCAAAGACTTTATGGAACCCCATAGCTTCTTATTCTTTACAACCTGTAGCGATTCAAGCAAATAAGCTCAATCTATTACGGTGTGTTTGGATGGATGGTTTTGAAAGGAAATGAAGGGGGCTTTTATTTTGAACAAATATTTTATATTATGTAATTTAATAACTTTTAAAACCAAAGGAAAAATGACAAACTAGCATAAAACTTAAATGTTCTAAGCCCTTATTCATGTTTATAAACTTTCGTATAATTCTCCTAATTCGAAAGTGAAACATTTCACCCTCTATTCCTTTCCATCCATCCAAAGATTTGACCATACACAAGCAACTTATACATGTATAATAAGAACCAACCTGCCTTCCCAACCCAGAAGTAAAATCATCAGGAAAACTTGCAATTGCTCTATACGGCACTATGTTAGCAGTCCACAACTTTGCCAAAGACAGATGAATAATGATAGACGCCACAGATAACGTGATTACAGAAAGAACAACCCATTTGATCTTAGTTACGAATGCCATATTGGCTCCGTGACTCTACGTCACCAATGCCGAACGGCCGACTTCAATCTTAGCTGCAACATCTACAAGAAAAACATACAAACAAAAGATTCTCATCAAAGAAGCATACACTGCACCACTCTGAGAATCAAAACATCCAAAAAGAATGCTCCACATCTGTGTACCTCAACCCAATTACCAGATTCCTCACATCACATACTATATAAGGTAACATAATTTCATCCTTAAATAACAATATTGTCACAACAATCCTAAATCCTAAGCCAAACATGCAAACAGATAAAGTTAGACGCTGAATTAGCGTTATCCGTTTTCCGATTATTCATCTACGCAGTGCCATTGGCATAGAACGATAAGATAAGTAGAGAATTGAATTGGTGTGAGAATACCTAGGGTTCCTCTGGAAGGGTGCAGTTTTGAGGGTAAAGCACCCAGCCAGCGAGTAGCGTTTGGCGTCTCAGCTGGAAACTTAATCAATTAAGCGATTTCGATTGGATCTCTGCGCGAACGAGATTGTGTTCTTCACTGTTATTCCTCCCAGTCCCAGGAATGGGGCAAAGGAGTGTTTGGATTGTGGAAAATAATTGTGATTATGATGGATTTGGATGGTAGCGATGGTGTGAATGCGGGTTTTTTTTGGTTTGGATCGAAGTTTCAAAATCACGTTTCACGGACGCGGTTCCTTTTGCCTTTCCGGTGCAAATCACGATCACATGGATCTTTCTTTATTCAACTACACTCTTCCCTCATCCACTTCAATATTCGTGCTACACTATTGTGAATTTTCGATTTTTTTTTTTTTTTTACTTTTTACAACCGATAAGCATATTTAGAATTTAAAAATAAAATAACACATTTAGAAATTGATTATTTACCTATGATAATTGATAAATGCTGATAATTTTTGTTATACAATCATATTTTATTTTATTTTGTTGGAAGAAAAGAGACAAACTCAAACACAAAAGAAAACTAGTACCCTTTAAAAAAAAAGCAACACCTCTTCAACATGCCCAAGAAAACATTTGAGGAAGAAGTAAACATTTGAGAAATAAGTAAGAAAAATATTTTCAAAAATCATAAAAATATTGTAAATATTTAATCTAGATTTTGAGATTTTTTTTAAATATAAAATTAATTATATTTTTAAAAAATATATTAAAATGGCGTAGTTTCAAAACTGATAAACATGGATACGCCAAATGAAATGGCGCATCCCTTTGGAGTTGTTTTTATGCACTGTATGGTATGGCTCATTCATTTCTCCCAAGCCATTTTATATGACGCATCTCTTTATATTTCATACATATGCGTCATAAGAAATGACGCATCCATTATATATTTTATTTTTATTTTTTTTAATCAACTACTTATACGCCATTTGAAAGGGCTACTACTACAATTTTCCTCTATATATACCACCATCTTGTTTTCGTATTTCTTTGACCCAACTTCTCATTTTTCTCTGCACTACATTCTCTTCATATCTCTTTCCATTTTTCAGTTAAAATGTCTTCCTCTTCTTCATTCTCATATATCTATCAGGTTCCATATATCACCAAGAGAAATGTCAATTTAATTTTCTTGCCAGTCATACCTCTAATGAAGATTCGCGCCTGGAATACATTGACGTTAGAACATCTTAAGAGGAGTCTGATCCGCTGGTTAGATGGAGACATTTCAGAGGGTGAAAATATCAGAAGAATTCAAAGGCTTGTTACCACATTCAATCAAAATGGAGAAATTTGCTTATGGGAGAATTTTACTAATGACCAAGATGTTCAAACGTTGATGTATAATTCTCAGGAAATTGTATTGATGGTTGTAATCACTTAGTTATGTTGTTGAGTTGTTGTATTTGTTTATTTGTTTTTTTTTTATTGTTTAAGTTATTGTTAATTGTTGTTGTTGAAAGTTATGATATTAATGGAATGATAGTTGTTAGTTGATATAAAGAGACAATGTCATATTTAAAACTATGATGTTATGCTTGATCTTACATTGAGATATTTTGTACGATTGTGTCCGGGCTGACGACACAAACTACATAATCTGACCATTTAATTTGTAGTACCCATCTATGTTCGAATGCGCGTGCTATTAGGGCGGCCCTTTTTCTTTCTTCGCATAATTTCATTATGCCATACAATTTCACCTTCGTATGCAGACCAAAAGTCCTTATTTGCTACTTCCGGAAAGCTAGTACTGTAGACATTGCACGAACTAATGACCTGGTAAACAACAAACAGATATTCCAGTCGCTCCGACGTGTTTGGGTGACATCAATTGAGAGTGGATGCAAAATGCAATGTAGATGATTGGAGAGACTTTTCTCAAGAGATGTGTCGACATTGGAAGAATCGACGTCGCCACATCTTAAACGACCTTGTCGTGGAAGGGGCTAGACCAAGTCATCAATATATAATTTGCTTTAAGTCGGTTACAACACAATAATTTGTGTCTGAGCCAACATATTTTATAGATCCACGCCAACGTGCTTCGTCCTCATACACACAACAACAAACATCTGCCCAACAACTAACTCGCACCATACTCAACAACAATATCTACCCACCCAATCAAACTTCCAAACCCATAACTCATTCATGCCACCCACCCAATCATAACAACAAGAGTCTGATCCTTACCGCTAACATCTACACACCGACACCACATCTGTTTATAGCCCCGATGACTCTTTCGACTCCATCCCAACCCACCATAGCCCCCCACAAATGAACACACAATCATCCTACCACCCAAACACTCAACCCCTATTTGACTACCTTACCCCACAACAGCCATTGCATTGTTTCCAAAATGATTCAATGTACCAATTCGGCCAACCATACCATCCACACCTAACCCAACCACTGCGTTTCAACTTCGAAAACATGGGTATGGAACTGAATTACGGAAGCGCCGTTGGCAGCAACCCCCCGATGATTGAAAATTTTTCAAATACATCGGGAGCCTCGCAAAAAATACCTTTTCAGCAGACCAATACGCAAAGACCACCAAACACCTCAACAAAATCGTTGTATACCTCGGAGGCACGTTAATGCGCCAATGTGGGGGGATGCTTTGATCGGGTCGGCCATTGATTTTTTTTCATTTCTTGTAAACTTTAATGTATTTTAAATAATATTTTTAATTATTTCTTATTTGTTTTTTGTTTTTTTCTTAATTATTTACCTATTTTTATCTCATTTTCCAAATAAAATAAAAAATCATTATTATTACTTAAGGGAGGATGCGCCATCTCATATGACACATGCACTCTAAATTAGGACAAGGAGAAACGCATGAGGTATAGGTGCCATTTAATTTGGCTACACCTATGTGTATGCTCCAAATCAAATGGCACATGAACTTTTAGTTAATACATATGCTCCAAATAAAATGGCGACCACATTCTTTCTTCTTCTGAAGCTACGTCACTTTGGTAATTAATTTAAAAAACATGTTATTTTGGTATTTATATTGAATAAATAGGTTATTTAAAAAAAATAATCAAACTTTGCATATAAACCATATTCTAAACATAAAATCATAAATTCTAAATATAATCAACTTCTAAACATAAATCATAAAATATTTTAAATTATCATAAGTTCTTAACATAATCAACTTCTAAACATAAATTCTAAATTTCTCATGAAGGTACAAGTGTGAATATCCTTTGTCCTAAGTTCCCATCTTTCTATCCATAATGTACTTGTAATGCTTCATTCTAGCAAGGTTGTTTTCATCATAGATTCTTCTTTTGTTCACTAAAGTTGAAAGATATGTAGACTTCGGCATGTCCACTCATTTCTTAATATATGGTCGTGTATCCATATTTTGTCTTGGGAAAGTAATACATGACTTTGAACTCATTGGTTACAATATTTGTTGCACGCCACCACCTACATCTAGCATCGCATGTGAATCAACCACAACATGTAAGACATGATTTGTCACTCTTACCATATTTTTCAAAGTTTTTGCAGTAATGGTATCATTTCTTCCTCTACTCATCACTTTATGCCCTAAACGATTATTCCAAATGAATGCAGTGGTAAGAATATAAGAATACAGACAAAGAAAAATAATAGTAAACTAGTATGGTAAAACACAACAATTAAGATACTTCATTTGTCTCTCATTTTCACTTTTTCCATGTCTCAAAATAATTTCTCTCTTACCATACATATACAACATTTATTATTCGTTTTCAATACTACCCTTATTTATATTTACACTTCAAGTAATAAATGTTATAAAACACATGTTAAGTTTATACTCTTTAATTTATTATCATTGTTTGCGGTCTCTCTCTTCTCTATATAATGCATTTTTTTTTCCTTTATTAATTTTTTGAATATAGTCATTACTCCCTTGTACTAGTAGAACATGAATTTCTAATGTTACTTATGGTTACTCCTACAACTAAAAAAAATAAATATGCAAACTTTATAACAAAAAATTAAACTTCCATTTAAAATAAATAAATAAATAAAGCTTTGTGAAATGAGTATTCTACATTTCAATTAAAAAAAAATATTTTTTAAAATTTTGTAAGATGATTATTAATTTAAAAATGAAATTCAACCTAAATAATATAAAATTTCTTGAACAACATGAGACAACACTTAATTTGGTTAGGGAGTTGATAATATTTTTTTAACATTGCCTTCTTCATGCGTGTAAACTTGTACCTGCGTGAACCTTTATCTTTCTTAATTTCGGTCATGTCTGTAGCATTAAAATATATGATTAGACTTCACTAATAAAAAGTTCTAAAATTGTTTCACAATTGCGTTAATAAGTTCATCAACGGTTCTATGAGCCTTTTATGTTGTAAGGATTGAATAGAGTTAAAAAAAAACCAAAATCTAAAACATTTAAATATGGTAAATTCGAAGCACTACTATAAAAAAAATATCACCACAGTTGAGCGAAGGATTTTATCACGAACGGCGGCCTGTGGTAATGAAGGGGGTGGTAGTAAGTGCGCT